CATCCATCCATCCATCCATCCATCCATCCATCCATCCATCCATCCATCCATCCATCATCCACCCATCCCATCAAGCTTCTGGTGGAAGTTTTATCCTGATTTAGGGTAGTCTTTTCCTATCCATCTACTGTTTTCACTGCATCTGGAAAGATGATGTGGAAGAAAGGACTATTCTGTCACACTGTGCTCACTCCTAATGTTTTTCACGCTCCACGTTTTCACRCTTCACGTTTTCCAGAACTGAAGGTGGAAATGCTACATCCTCTCTGTGACTATGCCTCCAGACCTGGTGCCTCCAGACCTGGTGCCCAGACTATCTGCCTGCTGCTATGCTCAATCCCTGCACGAGCACAGAACAGGCACCCAGAGCTGAGCGAGCTCAAGGATATGCAAACACAGACCATTCATAATAGAAAAAAACACCACGTTTTGTTCACATCCAGAAAACGCAGCTTTCAGAAATCCTGATGTAGGTGAGCACTCATCAACAACTGCCCAAACACACCCAGGGCTCAGTTTCAGTGAGATATACAAGAAATAACCTGCCCAAGAGGGCTTACAGGATGGAAAATCCAAAGGAAAGTATAATGAAAAATCACGAAAAGAAAAATAAAGGTGAGTGAAGAACTGTCCTGTGAACATGAAGACATCTTTACAGAGGATCAATTAAACAAAAYCTTCCTCTAGCTTCTTACCTTAAACAGCTTTCTCTACTGAAAGAGTAACACAAATGCACCAGAAGAAAGGAAGTGAAAACCTGTGGGTCTYGCTGGGTTTGCAACCTGTGCTGTGTGTTCAGTGTTTGCACACCCTCCTGAACACACTAACACCCTCATGGCCCCAAAATGAACAGCAGCTACCTGCACTGAGAATCATAGAAAACCTTTTAATGTTTTTCTAGGATGAATRATAGAAAAGAGCACGAGACTAAGAGCACTCTGGAAGACTCATCTAAAGAAGACTGCAGATCAATAGTACTGATTAATTTCTCATAATATGGAATTAATCTCACTCGCTCTGCAGACAGTGCAGGAGAACAGGGACACGGGGTCAGTGAGCTGGCTATCATGGAATAATTGCAGAGGGAGGCTCTGGTAACCCTGACTAAACTTTGAGGCAAATGGTCATGTTAATGAACTCAAGCCACAATTTTAATTTCTGTTTAATGCAGGAGAGGTATAAAACATACCACTGCAAAGCATTACTAAAGCTCCTTAAACACAGAATGCAAAAAGAATAAATAGCTTCTAGTTTAATAATAATATTTAGTCCTTTTCTTATTTAAGTAGATCAAAGTTCCTTTGGGATCAAAGACATAATGAATGCAGAAAGGTGAAGCAAAAGTTATTCTCCCATTCTATGACAGTCTGAGGTGAGAAGAGGCCACTGCAACCATCTGCACTAACATCTTCCCCTACAAATTTTCACATCAATCCCAGAATACCTGGTAAAATTACAGCCTACAAGGCCTGGACTTGATGTTTTCAAATGATAAAGGGTAGTTGTTCCAATGGACAGCTACTCTCTCTTTCAAAACATAGGCTATTTCTGAATTGATTTTTTTAAAAATGTTTTCAGCCAACAGCCAGAGACTCTATGATCTTGTTGAGATAAAAGACCTGCAATAATCAAAAATCTCTTCCACATGTGGGTGTGCATAGAATATGACCAGGTCACCTCTCAATCTCATCTTGAAAAAACAAGAGAGATAGATGATGATTTTTCTACCTAACTCTATAAAGCACAGGCTCTCTTTGGAAACTTCCCCCTGCATGAGGTTTTTCTCACTTACAACCACCTTCCCAGTGCTACTAGATAATTAGTTTTTATTTTATTTAACAACAAGCAAGTCAATTTGGGTTAATGATATTTTTCTGTAACAAACTGTTGTACAGAACACATTAAAATACCCTGCGTAAGTAGATTTTATCATAAAAATTAGTAATAAACACGTTTGACAAGACATATTTCCTATAAGCCATCATTTGCATTAATAATAACATCTTGTCTGAGTCATTGTAGACCATATTCTGTATCACATTTCCATAATTTAGTGGGTGCAAACATCAATTTTTACGAACTCCTATGTACCTGAGTCATTCCATTTACCATTAGAAATATGGGCATATCTGAGTTTCTCAGCAAAAAAAAAAAAAAAAAAAGATTACTTTTGAGAGTGATTGTTTCACCTCAGCCTTATATCTGGATTAAACAGCAAGTTTGTCTTTGTTATAATAAAACAGAAACATGCCATCTTTCTTCATCTCAATAGTAACTTGATGAAAAATTCTGCTTTCTTTTCTAACATGATGGATGATTTTTAACATTTTTATCTACTCTTGGGCCTGAATCATGGTTATAAGTTTTTTATGTCCCTTTAATACTTTCAGAAATGTAAGTGCTTTTGACTTAACAAGGCCACCAGCTAGGAATTTTCAAACGTYGCTCTTAAGAAAAATGTCCGTGTTCATACATGACTGATCACCAAATTTTAGCTTTTAAGCTTCCAAACTGCAGGGAAAATTGTTTAAACTGCTGCAGAGGTTTGTTCCTGCAAGATTCTGAGATGTTCCAGCACCCTTTGTTTGTTTGGGATGTAAAATAATTGTGTCCCTCAAGAATAAAAGCCACTTGGATGCAAAGCAGTGTACTATTGCCTCACAAATGCAGACTTAAATGCAGAGTATTAAAAGTGAACACTCAAAGAATTAYTCTTTTTATAGACACAAGCATATCTATCATTACACACTGCAATATGAAGAGACAGGGAAAAAAACTCCAAACATTGCACAGAAAAAAAGCCAGCCGTAAAAAGCATAATTCAGGAATTTTCTGAAGCCATGATGAAGTGATTCTCCTAATGACAAATCACTGTACAGAGATATATGGAGATATCACTGATCAAGCAGTACAGCAGTAAATGAGTAATGATCCAAGAGTTAGCCAGGAACAAATATGCTTAATTTGAGTTTTCTTGCCTGCTACACAGTCATTGAGAACAGAGAATGAAATAGATGACAACTAAAACAAATGAACATTAAAAGATTTGGMAAGGCATTGTTGGCTGCTAAAGATAAATGTAGATATAGGTAGGGAAAAAAGAGAGCAAAGACAGACAACTTTAACATTCAGCTACCTGTTTASTGCACACCCTTCAAATGAGCCCTTCAGATAAATATTTGCCTGAAAATGATCCCTTATTGATAATACAAGACTTGGGATGTCCTTAYTGTGCATTGCTCTCACTGAAATCTCAGCATTTTTGAGGCAGCATTCAACTAAAAAGATAATAACCAATAGCACCATGGCTGTCCCTGAGTCCATCTTGTGTCCAAATGCACTCMTGTGGGTGTAAAACAGAAATTCAGATTAAGGGAGAGGGAATCCTGCAATGCTCAGTCAATTCTTTCACCRTTAAGGAAATGCTTCCAACACATCCTGGCAAAAAAACCAAAGTTCAGCCAGGAGATTGGTTCTACCCGGCAACACAGCAAAAAAACCACCACGACAAACTTCTTAAGAGGAAATTTCCTTGGAGATTTCACCACCTATGGCAGCAAAACCTGCAGTTTGTGRGGCAGGCAGGATATTTAAGGTCTGTGATGGCTCTGCTTTGCCAYRGGAAGGGTTTGGAGCACTTGGAGGRGGCATTCTGTCGGGACCAGGTGCTTGTGCTGCCACTGAAGTTACTCTGCAATAAATCTGCAGCCACAAACCCTGCAGACAGCTCACCCYAATGCATCCAGGCAGCATGAAAGAACAAAACCTGCTGTGCATCAGTGCAAAGTCAGAGGAGAAAGCTGAATTCTACCCAGAGGAGCATCTTTGTTGGATCTACAAACCGATTTTACCAGGAAAGGAGCAAGGCTCCATGGAACGCACACAGGTATCCATAAAGATTGAGTCACTACAGAGCTGAGACGAGAGAAAAGACAGAACACAGAACAACATTTATCACTTCTCCTCTCTGCACAGAAAACTCAACCCCCTCAAAGTCAGCATCAGGCGATTTCTGAGCTCTGCCATCACCACCTGGCACCCAGACCCCAACACAAAACCACTCAAGCAAAGACTCAACACCACCATCATCCCAAAATCATCTCCAGTGCAAAATGCTGACAGTGAGAGAGAGCTTGTGGCTGCTGCTAGAAACTGGGAAAGGCAGGAACCAGCTCTAGAAGGCCCACGGGGAATCAGCACAAAACTTTTCAGTCTTTTCAGTTCCAGGTCTGTA